ATTTGTAAAAACTGAATTTATTTTCTAGTTTTTAACAAAATATTTTCGTTTTTTAAAAACTGAAAAAATATTTAAAACAACATATTTTCGTTTTTGAAAAATATTTTTTTTTCAGTTTTTTTAAAGATTTTCTTTTTGTAAAAACTGAACAACAAATTTGTATAAACTGAATTTTTTTTGTAAAAACAGAAAAATAAAATATTTTCGTTTTTTAACAAAATATTTTTGTTTTTTAAAAACTGAAAAAATTATTTTCAACAAAAATATTCATTTTTGAAAAATATTGTTTTTCATTTTTTCAGTTTTTTAAAAGACTTTTGTTTTGTAAAAACTGGAAAAACAAATTTATAAAAACAGAAAAAAAAATATTTTTTGTTTTTTAACAAAATATTTTTGTTTTTTAAAAACTAAATTTAAAAAAAAAAAACTAGAAAAAAATGAAAATAGGGGTTGGGTTGTGGGTTTTTTTTTTAAAACGGGTTGGGGAAAAAAAGGAAATGAGTCGTTTTAATCTGGTGTTGCCACGTGGCACTCCATTCAAAATAGGGGTATTTTTGTTTCAAAGTATGACAGTAGGGATATAGATAACCCAATAGTATGACGGTAGGGGTATAGATAGCCCAATAATATAACGAGGGGTACAGGTAAATAATATTTGAAAGTAGAGGGGTATATTTAGCCCTTTTCCGTTATATGAATAAGGGTAAAATTAAGATATTCATATAGTAGATGAGTATCTTTTTTAACGGCAAAGGGTCAAAAATAGCCCTTTGCTATTTGAAAATATTTGTTTATACCCTTTGTTATACTATTGATCCACAACAGTCCCCGACGTCATAGAATTGGTGCAAAAATATCCCTCTGCCGTTAGGACCCTCCACCAGGCAATATTATTCCATGTGGCATGACATATAGCAGAGGTGGATGCCACGTGGCATGCCACCTCATCGCACTTATCCCATTTTACCCCTCCCCTACTTCTTCTTCTTCCACCACCACCTCCCTCTTCACCTAATTATGCCAACATCACCTTCTCATTTAGCACGCACCTATTCTCCCACCATTATCAGACCACTAGTCTTGACACCATTAAATCACCATTCTTTCACCAAAACTCAAACTGAATCATTTTGATTTTTGGGTTTCATTTTCCAATTTGTTTTCAGATTTTTTTAAATTGCTTAATACGTCCACAGTAACATAAAAATTCGGTCTTGACTAGTACAAACTAATAAGCAAAGAGCTTCTGAACTATCGTTAATTAGGCTTGGAGATAGGAATAATCAAATTAAAGAGTACTACTAATACTACACTATTTACCATATCCTTAGATTCTTCATTGAGATTAGGCGTTTGTTTTCTTGTTGAAGCATCCAATTTTTAAAGAGTTTATCTCCTTCAGTGTCGCATATGTTCACACGAGAATGGCAACAAATTGGAGGGCAAAGCAAAATATTCCCCGAGCTAAAACCCAAATTATAGCTAGCCTTTTCCAACTTCAGTTTATTTTGGCGAGGCTTTTTCAGAGATCGAGGAGCTTTAGCTGCCTCATCCTGTTGATTCTCTATTTTTTGCTTCTTATCAATGCGAAGATCCTCAGTGTTCTGCATCAATTTGATTTCAAATGATTTATTGGAAAAGTACAGTTCATAAAATCAAAATTTCGATTTAGTTTAATTTTTTGTGAAAGAATGGCGATTTGATGGTGTCAAGACTAGTGGTGTTATAGTTATGGGGAAGGAGGATGTGATGTTGGCGGTGGTTGGGTCAAGAGGGAGATGGTGGTGGAAGAAGAAAAAGTAGGGGACGAATAAAATGAGATAGGTGCGATGAGGTGACATGTCATGTGGCATCCACCTCTTCAATATGTTAGGACACATAGGATAATATTGCCACGGTGGAGGGTCCTAATGGTAGAGGGGTATTTTTGCACAAATTTTATAACGTCGGAGGCTGTAGTGGACCAATAATATAATCGAGGGCATAAATAAACATTTTCGAATAGTAAAAGGATATTTTTGACCTTTTCCCTTTTTTAAAACCTTTTTTCCAAAAGAAAAGGATGATTAAGGTAGGAGACATACCTAGAGGTAAAGTAAGAGATAAATGAATCAGGATTACCATATTTGAAAGTAGTAAAGAAAATGAACATATTCCCGATAAATGGCCAGCTCATGTCACCTGTAGAACCGTCAATATGGGCTTGGTCCGTTGGGCCAGCCTAGTCCAACCCGTGATTTAGTAGGATTGAGCTAGAATTTTTGGAGCTCATTTAAAAACGAGGCTTTTAAACCCGGTCTGAATAAGCCCGTGGCCTGTGAGGCTTGATTGACGCTGGGCAAGGCCGGCCCGTGGGCCTAATAAAAATACGTATTTAAAATATATAAAATATAAAAATTATATAACACAAAAAATATCAAGAGAGTATCCCAAGCTTAAAGTTTATTAAGCTCATCATATTAAAAGATCAAAGTCTTAAAACATTAATTAGTTCTAAAAATTTAATTATTCTTAATATTTAACTAATTAATATTGCATACGAATTATAGATGTAGATGAAAGTGAAGATGTGAAGAAAACCTTCTCACAAGCGGATTCAAATGTGTTTGATGAAGATGATGCGTTGGATATCCCATAAGCGTCATGGACGTTCTCTTGAATAGTTTGTTTTGAGTTTTGACTTATAATGAATGAAATATAGTCTTGTCTTTTACTTTTTTTAGTGTTTATTGTGATATGTTGGAACAGTATAAAATGTTATTAAATTTTGTGAAAAATTTTTCCAATAAGATTTTTTTAACTTTTAAATATTATTTTTTTAGGTAAGAACTTAAAGAAAAAATATAAAATTATATTTTAAAAAATATTGGGCCGGCCCGTGAGGGCCCGCAACCCACATAGGGCTGGGGTGGGCTGACCATTATAAGACCCATAAAAATGGTGGGCTAGTCCAGCCCACCATGTCAATTGCTAAAGCCCACGTGGGCTGGGCTGGGCTGGGCTAGCGCCACCCCGCCCGCATTGACAGCTCTAGTCACCTGAAGGTATGCAGTTGTACTTCTTTGAACTAAATTTGCTATTATAAAACCAGTCATTTGCTCTCTTTAGCAAACAATAAATGGTAAAAATCCCAATTGCCAAAACTGTAAAAAGAAAAATGGATCCTAAATCATACTCCATTTTCACTATTTAGGCAAACCGAAGAAAGTTTTTGCTTGCAAAATATAAATATGATTCAGTTGGTTTTATAAAGTGTCCATTACATACTGACATATGTCGACACCACTCAATCTAAAATCTTGTGTATGACAACGAGCTTTGTCGTTCAATACTATAACACGAAGTGGAGATGCATCTAGGATTTTAGCTTGATGAGTTCCATCTTTAAAGTTCTTCGCACTAAATTTACTGTACTTTTAAAATTATGGGTTCAACTATAATACTTGTTTAGATTTTTGTGGGTTTTCATATAAAATTCCATATTCTGCATCAAAAATAGTTAGTTCAGATAAACTCGATGCCGAACAGCCGAAGTACTGGATCAGCCCCTGAATTGCCGGTTTGCGCCGTCGAAGATTAAACGGCAACCGTTATTGACTTATTCTTTGACAGAATTTTATATTGAATGGCCATACAGCTAACAAGACACATATTTAAGGTGTGCAGAAATTCATCTATTCATATATTATATATTTTAGCTATGACTCATTCGTTAAATTTGAATAAGTTTTCATATATTCGCATCCAAGGGTGTGATTGCGTGGTCACTGAATAAGGAGGAGAAATATGAGGTCTCACGTTCAGCATTACGTACATGAGCTGGTTGGAGATAGCAGATATCCGGTGGAATAGTCCAAGTGCGTGCTAAATGGTCCGGACACTAATTCTTCATAAAAATAAAAGATAGGTTTTCATATATCTGAAAATGAAAAGGATGAATCTCAAGAATTCATGCCATCCATTAGCTTGTTAGCCTAAAAGGTATATATGCAATGCTTTCTGAAGTTAACATTTTGTGTTGAATTTGTCATCACTAGCAGGGAACTTTAATGACTGGCTATAGGATCCATTTATACACTTTTTTGGCACTTTTTCACTAAAAAGATTCAAGATATAAAATATAAATACACAAAGAGCTCTTGGGGAGATTCAATATTTGTTATGTATGCGTAAAGAGTATATATATATATATATATATATATATATATATATATATATATATATATATATATATATATATATATATATCGTGTAATTTTATGGCGAAGGGGAGAAGAAGAACCCTTGCGCCTCCTAGCTCCGCCCCTGTAATTGTGGCTGATATGGCTTTTTAAGTCAAGTGCTGTTTGAGGCAGATTTAGCTGGCCCCGGTCACTACTTTCGGTTCAAACAATGCATACACATAATAGAAAATTAAAAGATGTATATACATGTAATATGCACAATAAACCATATCTGTTTCCAATCCATTGACTGTAAATTCTGAATTCAGCTCTGGTTGCTTGCTATATACGATGGTGGCGTCAAGGTCAGGGGCGGATGTTGTGTAATTCCGACAGGTTCGATTTGATCCATAACTTTTGATGCGGTGCATAATTTATGTGTAAAAATTTACTAAAAATGCAATGACCAGATATGAACCCATAACTTTAGAAATATAACGGGTTTAATATTAAGAATCTTGAAGGATGAACCCATAAAGTGTAAATTCTGGATCCGCCTCTGGTCAAGGTGGGCTATTATCTATATCTATGTATAAACTTTGTATACTAGGATTAACTGGACACTGCTAAACCACAAGATTCATTAACAATTGAAATCACATCTGAAAAAAGTAAAGGGCAGCCTGGTGCATTAGGCATCTTCCGTTCACGCAGAGCCCGAGGAAAGGCCGCACCCCAAGGGCTGTGATGTAGACAGCTACCCTAATGCAAGTATTAGTAGCTGCTTCCACGGCTCGAACGAGTGACCTATAGGTCACCGAGAGACAACAGAAAAAGTAACAAAGTACACAAAATCACTTTTATTAATAAAACACCCTTGTAAGCAGTATACATGATGTATCTCACGCTTAAAGGCAGATTTAACCATACACCAGAACAAGGATTTCAACCACAAGAACTTAACAAACAACCACAAATACATAGAACTGGAAGGCGCTCCATCCATAGGAGAGCGCGCAAGGTTCACTCATAAGGCGAGCGTTATGATACAAAGAGCGATGACTTACTAGCGAGCAACTATAGCTATATGCTAGCTGCAAACTTCACATATAACCATTACACAGAACAGCAACCTCTGAAGATTGAGTATGAGAAATGGACATTAACTCCGACCTGAAATCCTCAGTTCCGTCCCTTGAAGTCACTATAGTTCCGTTTGAGCTGCAAGAATTGTCCACGAGAACTATATCCGGTAACAAGTTAGATAAAGCGATGAGCAATTCACGTGCCACCTCGAAAGGAGCCTCCTCTCCAAGTGCTCTATTTGCCATAAAAATGTAAATCCTTCCACCTGAAATCTGAAACAACTAGTTGGTTCATACATTTTCTAAACGTAACATCCACTTTAAAGCTACGACAACGACAACAACAAAAAAAACCTGTGTAATCCCATAAGTGGAGTCTGGGGAGGAAGGAAGGTAGAGAGGCTGTTATCCACCTTAATGCTATAAGCTTAAATTTGGTTCTTTCAAGTTTAAAGAGGCATACAACAACCCAGTATAATCCCACAGGTGGAGGTCCGGGGAGGGTAGTGTATACGCAAACCTTACCCCTACCCTGGGGGTAGAGAGGCTAAGTTTAAAGAGACATGATGAATGATAACCATCAGAAGTACTTTCTCAAAAGCTAGTAGTTAGCTGATGCCCCCAAAGCAATAATACTCGTCTCTTAATGTTCTATTGCCCTGCTGCTGCAACAACAACAACATACCTAGTGTGATCACAAGTGGGGTCTAGGAAGGGTAGTATGTACGCAGACCTTGTAGAGAGGCTGTTTCCGATAGACAAGGAGAACCATTGCCCCGCTATAGCACTTACACGAATTATTCACCATAATAATTTCAAGAATGGTCAGCCATTGGAGAAAAAATTTTCAAGGGCTAAAAATTCCTGCTTGAAACAGTAACTATATGTGAAGGAAACGACCATAAAGCATTGATGTTGACAACATGATGGTTCACCTTAACAGTAGAAAGAACATTCAATAGAATCACCAAAGGCACACAATAACTGGAGTTACTGGATTTTGATTGACTTAATAGTACACAAAATCAAGGACTGTTTATTCTGAATTCTCAAGAAAAGGTATGTCCAATTGTCAGCAGTGATGAATTTTTGTTATAATTTCACAATATAGACTCCACTCATGTAAGTTTCACAAAACATAGTCGGTTCCAAGCCCGAATAAAGAAAGAAACTTGCGATAAGTTGACAATCAACAGTCAAAAAATTAATCTTCTGAACGCCAACAGAATGGATACAGAGAATTCATATAGCAAACCTAGTTGGGATTGAGTCGTAATTACTGAAATAGATGCTTTATGTGTGAAAATTATTAGAAAAATGCCAACCATCTGTTCCTACATTGACTAGAGGCAAAAGAGTTATATATCTTTTTTTTTTTTTTAAATCTTATTTCAATGAGTGCTACCTGCTACAATATTTCCATATTTCTGCAGCTGGAGGGGAACAAGATTCATAAGAAGAGTATAAAAAGCTTCAGTAACCTACTTTATGTATTCTATTTCGACTAAAGAGTTGATTTTAATTGTTACTCATTGATTGAAGAATAAGTGTGAGTTCTACGGAAACTTTGGATATTTTATTTCTCAACCTTTTCACAGACTTGTTTCAAAATTTCATTATATACACGAAATGGGGTACTTCGACGTTATCGGTCTTTACTAAAACTGCATATCCACTGTAAAGTCGGCTCAAGAGAACTTCAAAAACAAATTTAAAAACATTTATTTAAGGTAATTGACTCATGTAAGATATGGTACTTGGGCCTAACTCAACCCTAAAAACTCTAGCTCATGAGGAAAAGATTGCCCAAGTCCATATAAGGAGACGACTAGCCCATCACCCAACCAATGTAGTACCCTAACCCACTCTAAGCCCCTCCCCCACTCCCCCAGACCGCCAACTGGAGTGTGAACAATATAACACGGGGGCCCAAACGAGAACGGACCTGACTCTAATACCATGTAAGATATGGAAGGTGGACCTAACTCAACTTCAAAAGCTAGCTCAAATATAATGGAATGGATATAGAGAATTCATATAACCGACTCTGAATAGCTTGGTTTTGAGAATTATTGATTGATATGTGATCTTTTTTCCTTTACTTTAATTTCTTTTGTGAGAAACTGGAGGGGGGAAAATCCACTGGGGTTTTCAAGAATTTTTTTTTTCTTTTTAACTTAGAAATCTCCGAGGGCCAGATCCAATGATGCTCCAGTGGATAACGGGCCCATCAATCAATCTTTCTCCACTAAAATAGTACATAGTGTTGGAACTCATGACGTGCACCTAACCAACATAATGCCAACACGAATTGGGTGATGACGAACCCAATATATGGTAGATGTTGTAACTAGTATCTTATTAGCAATAAGAGATCTAAATCTCCATAAGCAAAAACGAAATACCTTTTCTGGAAGAAAAAAATTAAAAAAAAAGAAAAGAAAAGATGAGATCTTCTCTTTTCTGTGCATAACTTAAAATCCCTCATGTGTTAATATTGATCTTATGTGGAAAAGCTCATATAACTAAAAAGATATTTATCTTTTATGTACTATCTCATGTGTTATATTTAATGGATCTTGTATTAAAAAGCTCGTATAACTAAAAGAACATTTGTAATGTATCATAAAATCGATCTTTCCTTTTGCCAAATCAAATAGAAATGATGCAAATACAGAGCAAAACACAAAATACAGAGAGAAAAAGTGTACCTTAAGAGCCTTTGATATCTATTGATATGGCCTATGTGTTTTGGATTGCATATGTGTGGCCTTTTTTATTTGGACAAATTCCTAATACTTGATTTTCGGCTAGCTGGCAAACCAAAAAAAACCCTATTTTTGGTAATTTGTAATTTATTATCTCTACCACTTAGGCTCTAACAAAATAGCACTTAGGTCCTTGTGGTTTTAGATAAATATCATTTTAAGTTTAATCATATGATAATGGAGACCCCAACAAATATCTCGTCACATATGCCCCATCAAAATGAAAGCGCTCTCTATCAAAAAAATAAATTGGATAAATATTAGATATATGTTACGCCTCTTGTACGTGGCATAAAAAAAATACGACTCTGCAAATACAAAAAAAAAAAAAAATAGAAAACCCAAAATAATTGAATGGTAAACATATATATACTTCAATATGATTGCTAACCATAAGTGAAATTAGCTTATTTTGCTTAGTCAATAATTATGTTAATATCTTATTTTGTTGCTATTTGTATAATAAACAAGTTAGATAAATATTTTTAAGCTTTGTGCCCGGCCAATTGGTATAAAACAAATTGTGATGGAAAGTAGAACTTTATTGATACTATCTTAAAAAATTATAAGGAGGTCTCTACAGTGGAATTAAAATTAGGTATGTCTATTTTCCAAATTTTAAATTAGAGAACAATGTCTAAGTAAATTACTCCTAGAAGAAAAAATGTAAATTACTCTACAAAATAAAATAAAAGGATACCGAAGAAGAACCTGCATTTTAAAGGTATTTCGTTAAAGCCCATGGCATGGGAGGTCCATGGACCTAAGAAAATCAAACTTGAGGAGCATTTTTTCAAAAGCCCATTTTGACTTTGGAATTTTTACTTCCTATAGAATAGGTTAACCCCCTATTTATTTAAAATAAATATCATTTCAATAAATTACATCCTATAGATATGTTATATGATTTATAGCAAAAATTCTAATTTTGGGTATCTCCTACACTTAATCCATTATACACGCTATGTTTAATTTCCCTCTCTCCATTCTCAGATTCTCTCTCTCATAGATACCTTTTTACATACAACTTCTCAATACAAGTTTTCCCCCTTCTCTCTAAATTGATACTTCCAAATCCCCTGTAATCGCGGTTAAAATTAGATTGCTCTCATTCACAACGCAGCTTCCTCCTTCCCCAATCTCGGGTAAACCCTAACGCTTCATCTACATTGTACTGGCTTGTTTCTATAAGTAGTGTGGTTAGCATATTTTTTTTTTTTGATTTTTCGCCATTTTTGCTTGTTCTCAACCTCTCGACGTATCTAATCAACAGTACCCAAGTCGTATTCTCACAATGTCTGAGAATACACCCCGCAAGTTGATTACTAGAGGTATACCCACTAAACTTCTCAATTTCGATGGGCCCTCTTTCTCCTTGCAAATCACTCAAGGTGAATTGGACGCAGGTTTAGCCAAAGATATTGCTTTGGAGAAGAGAACAAAAGCTCGACATGATAAAGTCGAGAAATCAATGAAGAAGACAAACACTTCCCATTTGGGAAAAGAGGAAAAACCATATCTCTAAAGCTTCATCTGTCAAGGGGAAGGAGGTTGAAGCATTTAAAACCTCAGATAAAGTTGAAGAAAAGGTAATTTTCTGATGAAATTCATTTGTATTATTCATGTATTCAGTTGTATTTATACGTATTTATATGTATTCTGATGTATTTTATAGTTGTCTTTTTAAGTTTCTTTCAAGGTTCCCATCACTGTTTTTCCTTTCAATTTCATTATATTTATTTGTTGTTTTCAACAGTTTAAATTTTCATTCTGTATTTAGTTGTATTCATATGTATTCATGTATGATAAATTAATGTCATTTGTGTTGTATCCAGTTGTTTTATATGTAATTAGCCTTGTCAGTGTATTTAGTTGTATTTATATGTTTTATTCATGTCAAATGCAGGGAATTAAGTTTTTTGTGAAACAGCTGCCAAAATTTGCACCCCATATCAGTGTGTATACTAACACTGATATAGTCTCCGATATAAAAGAGAACCTTACTCCTGTTCAGTACCAACAACTTGGTAATACTTGCTTTGGAAATTTTCTTCAAATGAAGCGTTGTGAAGTCCAACATCAACTCTTCAGATGCTTCATGGCTCTCCAGTTGTATTGATATGTATTCAAAACTGATTTACTATGAAATATGCAATGTATTCAACTATATTAACTGCATTCAACTGTATTAACATGTAGTTGTATTGATAGTTTTTTACTTGCATATAGATTCAAGATACATGTATACAAATGCATAGGGACTAATAATCAGCTGCATACACTTGTATACAAATGCATACAGAAACTGCATACAGTTGAATATATCTATTGCATACAATTGTATTCATATGCATACAGCAATATACAACATGCTGTTTCATTCAGCTGTATCCTGTTGTTTTACTCAGCTATATTCAGTTGTATTTTGGTGTATTCAGCTGTATTCAGCTATGGTCAGTTGAATTGAACTGTATTAACCACCTAGAGTCAGTTGTATTCAATTGCTATATTCAGTATTATTCAACATATGTATACATCTGTATTCAGGTAATTTCAATTAAATTCAATTGTTTTAATCCCCTGAATTCTTTTATAAGTATTCAATCTTCATTCTTGTATGTTATATACAAATCTAATTGTATGAATTATTTTTAATTGTTTCAATCAATTATTTTTTAGGGATTGTGGAATGCATGTTGCAGCATACGCAGAGTTTTTGAGCACTCTTGGAGAGATTCTAAAAACAACATTTGATTCCACTCTACTCCGTCAAAGATATGATGCTCTCCTATGGGACTATGCTATGCGCAAGATAGACGTTGATGCCATAAGCGAGAATGAAGCACCTTCAAAGATTGCTAGGCAAATCACTGAGTCGGAGGCAAAGATACAGATAGTGTTAGAATAGCTTTAGGTTATTGTAGTTTTGGAGTGTAGTTTTAAGAAAAATACTGTTTTGAGTAGTTTTGGGTGTAGATGCTATTTATTTTGAAAAACTTATCACTTATAGCAACAGTGTTCGTGTATGACAATTGCAACTTTTCAATGACTGTTTCACTTGGTTTGTTCATAAGTATTCATGCTTATTCTTCAGTTTGAATACATATTTATCTTGCAGGAGTCAAGTATGTATTAATACTAAGCAACTTTGCTTGAACAGGTGTTAGTTAATGAATATGTTAATGTCAAAGTCAGAAACTTTATGTATGCTGATGGTAGGTTATACAAAAGAATTCAGCTGTATTTTTTTTGCTTTCAGTTGTATTCAATTGTATTTAACTGTCAAATTCAATTGTATTCAGCTGCATTCATTCAGATATATCTTTCAAGTTCAGATAATACATATTAAAGAACACAATTTGAATACATAAAAAATAAGTATTCAATAGTTTAAATGTATTATTCAGTTGTATTAAGATGTATTCATATGTATTCAATAGTTATTTTTGATTGCAACTATTCAATTTTCTAGTAAGTTTTCAAATGTATTCAAATGTATTCCTATGTATTCATATGTATACATATGTATTTTTATGTATTTTGATAGTTTCCAAATGTTCAATTTTCCAGTAAGTTTTACTTGTATTCATAAGTATTCATGTGTATTCAGCTTTAGTTATTTTTGTTTGCAACTATTCAATTTTCCAGTAAGTTTTCAAATGTATTCAAATGAATTCATATGTATTCATATGTATTCAACTTACTTATAGATACTAAGGTTTTCTATAGAGTGTAAAATTTCCTATATTTATCTGTATAAAAATACTTCAACTGAATGTATTCAGAAAATATTCAAGAAAGTCATTTCAAAATATATTACTTGACAAAGAGAATTTATTATAGATGATAATGTCATCAAAAGTATTGACAAATCGTTGAAGCACCAATACATGTCAGAGTGTTAACTATTTATTACGTGGAGCATTTCTACACGTTCGCTTGTTATGTCCTCCCTGCCCACATATGCTACATGAATGTTGATTTTTCGGCTGCAGCAATTCACTTAAAGTTTTATCGCGCTTCTTCTTTGGCCTTCCAGGAGGTCTTTTCCATTTGGGTGGTAGTACAACCTCCTCTGCAACATGTTCTGGTATATTCCAGTCATTTTTGTCCGGTAGCAGGTACACTGGCACATCGTATGTCATTACAATTGTACTTGGTTTGTAATAGTTAGAGCAATATTCTTCTGGCATTATAAACTTGCTCTTCAATACAGCCCAAGCATGTGGGCATGGCAATTCATCAATTTGGAACCTCCCACAAACACATTTTCTCTCTAACAGGCAGACTGTGTAATTCCTCCCACCATCGTTAACGGTATGTAAGTATTCACTTGATGGTACCACCTACATTTAAAAATAAAAATATAAGTTTTGAACACATTTACCTGAATTACCAAATGTATAATGCTGAATTAATAAGTTACATACAACTGAAATATTTGCATATATAAGAATACATCATATATTTAGACCAGCAAAATATCAACTGTAGAAGTGCAGAACTTATCAAAAGTCTGCTGTACTTTAGGCAACAGTATGCTAACAAAAGCATTAGAATCATACGTATTCACAATACATATAAAAATTACATATCATATAGCTAGTTGTATTCTGATGTATTCCAATTGTTTTTTCAGCATGTTTTTAGTTATATTCAGTTTTATTCATATCAGATCTATGGAAAAATATGTCTTTTATGTGCTTGAATATAGTTGTATTCATATATATTAATGGTAGTTCTACTTAAAAATGATTGTATTCAGTTGTATTCATGCCACTAATTCAGAAAATAACTAAAAATATATACAACAATGACAGTATTCATGCCACTAATTCAGAAAAATATATTCAGTTGTATTATTGTTTACAAAAAATACAACTCATATACAGACAAATACAATCTGATATATATATATATATTTAAGGACCCTAAACAAACATATGTTTTCATATGTTATCATCAGGACGAAATACACAAATACGTATAAATACAACAACGTTAAACAAACAGCGCGAATCAATAATGGAAAATACAAAGCAAACAAAAATTTAAATACATGCAA